ATATGTGTATTATTTGTGTATGATTTTCTACATTTTGAGTACCCGATATATGTAAGATATGTGTAGGATATGTGTAGGATAGACCATTTTTTTACCAGTGTCATTAGGAAATTCTGTGCAAGTTTTGGAATTAGGATTTTCAGATTCTTCAAAAATTTCAGGCTCTTTAGAAGAATCTAATATATTTTCAAAGTTATCTTCAAGACTCATCACTGATATTGCACTTCCAATACTGTTAAAAGACATGTTTTGTGCATCATTATCATCATCCACCTAAAATTATAAGCTAAATGAGTTAGTATATCTGAGCTTTTTCTTAAAAGCTCTAAAAAGAATAATCTGGAATATATAATTATCTTAACTTTATCATTTTTATATTCACTACTTTGATTACTTCTTGTATCCATGACATCACCAAGTTAAACTAAGCATTTACCAACCATTTATTAAATGCTTTAAGAATACTTAATTTAAGTGCTTATTAAACAAATTTCAACGCAGCTTGTATTCGATAAGCGTTATTTTTTTATTACTAACAGATTAATAATATTATATATTAATTTTGCATTAGAAATTAGTATAATTCAAATATTTAAATTAATTATATAATAAATAATAGTATATTACACTATTTTAATACTGATATTTTGATATTATTTTACTACTCAATTTTATTATTATATTTATTATACATATTGTTTTGTTATATTACATATGATACATCTTTTAAATTATGATTAATTAAATTTCTAACACTTCCAAAGACCCTCCCTGCTATTTAAAATTAAAAAGATTTCTAATTTTTTAATGAATTTTCATGCATCTGGAAACCAGGTTATCTAATAAAAAAAAGAATGAAATTAAAGTAATTTACTAAAAGAAATATATTCAAAAAAATACTTTGGATTCTTCTTACCAAAATTCTACGCTTCTAAAGACCTGGTTATCCGATCATCTAGAAAAAAAAAATATAAATCAAAACGTTAGTAAGATATTTTATTAAAAGAAATAAATCAAAGAAAACTCCAATATTCGCCAAAATCTGTATCCAATAAACTGGTTGTCTAAAAAAAAAAGAGAAGAAATCCAATGTGTTCAGATTTGAAGAGTACTTGTCAATGTAATATTGATTTTACCAACAAAAAATCCCATGATTTTGATTTTCATCAATAATCTTTTTTTTAGTCGCGAATCTATTGTCTTATTAGCTTTAACCAAACTTTTTTTTAAACCTTTGTGGATATATCCACTACATTTTCTACAATTTTCGTGCTCTTTATTGTAATGAAATAATTTTATTTAAATAATGCACGCTATCCAAGTCTGAAGAGCAAGCCGTCTAAAAACGAAATGTTAAAGACAGTTCGTTAAATAAATAAATTAAAAAATCTCTTCTGATTTCTTACCGGAATCTAAGATCCACCTAAAAAAAGGAAAATAATGAAACGTTAGTAAACGTTTTGTTAAAATAAACAAAAAATAAATAAAATAAATAAAGAAATAAACTTATGAATTCACGTCAAAAAAGTTTTGAAAAAGCTGATTAAAAAAAAGAATAAGACGAAACGTTAATAAACGTTTCATTAAAATAAATAAAAAAATAAAAGACAAAAATTACTTATCAAAAAGTCATGTTCAAAGAGCCGAAGACCCACCTAAAAAAAACAAAAAAAAAACGAAATTATTAGGTTAACATTTCGTTATAATAAAGATGTTTAAAAAACAAAAAAAAACTAAAATATATACCGTAATTTGCGTGTACAAAGACTTGAAGAAAAAGAAGCCATCTAAAAAGAGAAAAATAGATGAAACGTTAGTAAACGTTTCATTAAAGAATTATAAAAACAGCCCCTTTCTTACCAAATTCAAGTACTCAAATTCAAGCCATCCAAACTCCAGAAACCAGAAAGATCTGCCTAAAAAAGAAAAAGAAATGAACTATTAATATAGTTCGTTAAAAATAAAAAATTTAGTAAAAAAAATTAAGACTTACCGAATTTCTAAGCCATCATCAATTATTTTAATAAAAAGGAATATGACAAAAATTTGAAGTGCTCTAAAAAAGAAAAAAAGTGAACTGTTAATAACAGTTCATCAAAGTAGTTAAATTAAAGAAAATAAAAAAAATATACCGAAAACTCATGCGTCAAAAGAAACCAAAAGACCGTTTAAAAAAAAATGAAAAATGAAACTGAATTTCCACGCGTCTAAATATAAGAAAAAAGAACAAACCCGTCTAAAAAAAATTAAGAAAATGAGCCATTAGAAACTAGCTTGTTAAAATAAATATAATTGAAAAAAAAATAGTTTACCAGAAATGTGTCCAGAGAGACTGAAATAACCGTTTAAAAAAGAATTTTTGGATTTTTTTGTAGGTGATTTTAACTTTTTTTTTAAACAGAAGAGGGAAAGGATGAAAAAAAGGAAAGAACAAACTCAAAAAAGAAAAAGAATGAAGGAAATGGAAATGGAGAGGATAAAAGAAAAGAACGAAAAAAAGAGAAGGAAAATGGGAAAAGGAAATGTAATGTAAATGGATAGATAAGCTTATAAGAAATTTGGTAAAAGAAAAATGGAAAAGTGAAACTTCGTTGAGTAAAAAAAATTATCAATTTGATAATCTATATCACGTGATACTCGTAAGTCGTAATACTAATTTAATAAAGTAATCAGGTCAACTGGCCAACTCGACCTGATATGGCAAGCCGAGTTGGACATAATTATCAGACATTGTGCGATAAAATATCAAGCATGGCTTGACAAAATGTCACCC